TATGTAGGCGCGGACCAGGATAGTAGTGGTGGGCGGCGTGGGCTGCGTGCTGTGTGTATGTGTATGTGTATGTGTATGTGTATGTGTATGTGTATGTGTATGTGTATGTGTATGTGTATGTGTATGTGTATGTGTATGTGTATGTGTAGAAGACGTATGTTTCAAGGGCGTGAGAAGATGTAAAGCCATGTGTCTTGTTGGGAACTGAGTTGGTGAGTGAGGCGGCCACATTTCTACAGACATCCTCATTACACAGGCCTATAGGGTCAGTATACAGTATATATATGTATATATGTATGCAGTACATTAGACTGAAGTGTTAGAAGATGAGTGAGTACTTCTTCTTAGCTGTACTTCATATTAATTAACAGTAGCAGGATATTCTCTGTGGCTTCACTGCAGCTTCCCTCAGCTCTACGCTGCTCTCAGGTGCAGCAGCAGAAGCAGTAAAAGTCAAAGTGACGGCTGTGTAAGCAGGAACAGCGCGTCGGCACAGATGTCTCCACCTACGGCCTTCACAGCACTGACAAGCTTTTATTCAGTGCATTAAATTTGAATTTCTGTTGAGCCATAAAGCCGTCTCATTAGACGTATGCTTATGTTTGACGCTGATGAAACAGGAAACACGTTTAGCTTGGCCCTTCATCACCGGGGGTCACCACGGGGGTCGCCACAGTAATTTGGTAGCCATCTTGGTGCCTCAGGTGAGATGATGCGTTGGCATCTCCACCGTACAGCATGTCTTTTTCTGAGAGGATTACAGCATTGTCCCCTCCAGCAGATGGCGCCTTAGGCGACCATCTTTGTACCCTATGCCAACAGCTTGATTGATGCATCCACATAGGATTATTTTGTCTCAAGACAAGAGCTGTTAATGTATTGACGTGGCTCTAAAAAAAGGGGGCGCTGCAGGAAATGTCTGGAAACTTTTCCATAAGATTTTGTTGAGATTGTTTTGTCCTGTGGGTTTTTACTCTGCATTTCTTGGGAAGGTGTTTCTTTAAACCTAACTGTTTCTTCAATAAAAAGGCCAATGGTGTGGACACAACATTTCATTAATAAACAGGACCTGACAGCAGCATTGACAGGTGGGTTGAGGTTGTGGCTGAAATTACAACTGTGTGCTAATAGGCCCTAAAGTCATGCTTTCAACCAGGCTGCTTATTAAACCAGGGCTACAGTGAAAGGCAACAGTTTCTGCCGCAGGGGCAATTATTGCCCTGGGTAAATAGGATGTGTCAGGAAGGGCATCCGGCATTTATAGGAATTAATAAATGTGCCAAAATCACAAACACACATTATCCACTGCTGCCTGTTCACCTTGAAAAGGAGAGCAACTGAAAGTGATTGCACAGAGCCCAGCATCGATAAGTGTCTGCTTCGTTGGATCACAGCGTCAATACCTACTGTCCCTAACACACAAACACACTTATCTTCCTTGTGTGGCATTGTCCTTGAAATGGCACACACTCTACTCTTGCACACCTTTGTGTGTGTGTGTTGAGAGTCTACATCCTGACATGAACTATAGCTGCTGACATTTAATATTTTAACGGCTCCTGGGGCGAGCGGCGCCGTCCGGCTCTGATAGGGAGAGACGTGAGTTGGAGGGAAAGGGTGCAGTGGACTGGAGCCAAGCATTATGGGAGCAATTGGCAGGTCCAAAAGGCAGGACACCTCTCCGCCCTGACCTCTTCAGCCACTGACGTATCGTCTGAGTCAGGGGTCCGTGGAGCACAGGGCGGTGCTGAGATAAGCTGGATGGTTAAATGTTGCAGAGAAGATGGAGTGGGGAGGATGAGAATAAGGAGAAAAAAAGTACTGGAAGTTTAAATAAAAAGGAAAACAGTGAAATCCAACTGCTTCAGTTCATGCAGACTTCTTTCCTGCACTGAATTAACCCCAGCTGTTAGCATCGAGGTGCGAACACAACACCTGCCTCGTACATCTCTTTTGAAAACATTTAAACAAGGACTAATGTGATTTGAGGGCCAGGGAATCAAGAGTGAAGAACACAGGGACTCTGTGTGAGGAACAGGAATGAAAGGAAATGCTGTGGAGAGAAGAGGAGGAGATGGAAAGGAAATTATTTGCGGCCTGATACAAGCGCTAACATTAAAATCCCGCTCTGCTGTGACTCAATCCTACTGTTCCCCCACTTTGATCCTCTTCTCTTATCAGGAGGAAACACAGCCTTGACCCAGCTGCCATCCTTTCTATTTCTGCCCTGGGATACAGCTAATGCACATATTTACATAGAACTTTGTATATTTGCACACACACACACACACACACAAATGCATCGTAAAGGGAGATGATAATGGCTTTCTTTCCTCTGTGCTTGGATTATTGGAAACAGAATGGAATTTATCAGTATTAATATACAAAACAGGAGATTAGCTCTGTTATAATCGGCTGCAGTTGTACGATTAGTTGTTTGGCTGAGACACACTTTTGGTGTTGATTTTAAAAAAAGGGAAATCCATCTGTTGCTTCAGTTTTGAGACACCAATACATGACAAGCAGTATATACAGGGAGCAGTCTTGCCCACCTTGTATTTGCTTATAAATGTTAAACAACTCAGACTGGTTATTTTTATCACAACAAAGGATACGTTGCAGACGTGACAGGACCACAATAATTTCACATTTCTACAAGGCTACGACAGCAGTGGAAGCCGAGCTTTGGATGTACAGAAACTGAACATGTCACAGATTCCAACAACAAAACTAACTTAACCTGACATTTGCTCCAAAATATATACCAGTGTATACCAGTGCAGATTAGTCCGATCCGTTAATGACGTTAATTACTGGATCGGATCGGATTGGCCTCATCCCTAATATACTGTATATATGTATATGCAACTGTCACTGACATTTTCCACAGAACCTTGGAATTTAGAAAGATCCCAGCAAAACATAAAAAGAAACGAAAAACATAACATTTGGTAAGGTGGTCTAACAAACCCCTGACTTCTAACAGCCTTTTAATGACTGAGGAGGTAACTGATGACATCAGTTACCTCCTCAGAATCCTCCTGTATACATACAATCCATTTGGTCCCATTAAAGTATGTGTTAGATTAGTGCGTTAAGTTAAGACCTGACAATGTGATCTGATGCAGCCTACATCTGTGACTTTTACAAAATATCACTGGGCCTTACTCAAACACGTGACCTACATGGGCTGAACACTAGTCAAGGGGTTCATGGCTCTATTTCGTTTTACTAGAGTCCAACCCTGTCCTTTCAGAACAGTGACATACAACGTGGAGAGAGAGCAGCGATGCTGAAATCCCCAGGAGGTGTAGAAAGAAAAGGGGGAGCGGGGAGAGGAGACAGGGGATGAGATTGGGAGAGGTAATCTCTGTGGAACATTGTTTGCCACGTGGGCCTGGGGTAATGTATGACTTCCAGTGGTGATCACTGTAATGAAGCCGAGGGCTGGTTGGGAGAAGTGGACCTTCACTGCCACAGACAGCAGGGCCCAGAGGAGCTGCAGCAAATGAGCCCTGAGGTCCAACACACAGAATGGATTGTGAGTGGGACGGACGAGGGGACTAAGCTGGATGAGGGTTATTTTAGGCCGAGAGGGGCAGGGAACGGAAGAAGCTAAGTGTATGTGAGCGTGTGTGTGTGTGTGTGTGTGTGTGTGTGATAAATGCACTCATTTCTGTGCTGCCATTGAAGCTGCCAAGGAGCAGAGACAAAATGGATGTTGGTGTGGCCTTGTTCCTGTCTGAAGACACATTTATCAGCAGCGTCTCCACCTTCTTCACCACAGCATGCATCCTCTTCATTAGTTAAGATTTCTTGCATTTTTTTTTATTTGCAATCCACATTGCTTTAAAATTTTATTTTTTGCTTCTTAAAACTTTGATATATTAACAGAAGATTTGGAAAATATGGAATTTTAAATGTGGACTTTTACAATACCCTTAGAATCAACTTTAACTAAAGGATATTTCAAAGACATATCACTCTGAGTCTGTCCTTAATTCTGTAACAAACAAATACACGCAGGTTTTGTTTATTTATAAATAAACACAAAGACTTCATCCTCAGTCAACACTTCACACACAGTGTCCAACATAATGAACCACACACATATGATTGTTGTTCCTACTTTAACAAGATGTACAAAAATGCAAGGCTAGAGCTGCATTAATGTAAATCCTGTGTATTTTTCAGCAACTTGACACAAATATAATTACACCTTTAAGTTTACACATCCCACACAGAAATCAAGGCAGCCTGCTGTTTTGCTGGTATTGTTCAGAGCCGAATTATTATGGCTTTAATTGTGGTATTTTGTTTGATTAATGAAGTGGTTCTCACCAAATCTGTGGCATTGCTTTGGCCGCTCTCTCCTGAAACACAAGAAAAATAGCACCATGGAGGAAGGGAGCGGATGAAAATAGCTCAGTAGGCAATCGCTGACTCATAAGGCAGAGCTGGGAGTCAGGAAGCCATCCATTCCTGTGTGCATCACATCAACTGGCTGTTGTGTAACTCTGGCACTGCCCGTAAATCAAACGGCTCTTAATGTGCACAGCTCCGTCCAACATACAGCCTTTTGTGTAAACATCCCATCTGCAGCTGCATAAAGAGAGGGCTCGGACATCACATGGTCCATTCATCACCACTGACAGCATCGCCTCCAGTCCTTGAGGCCAAGGACTGGAGTAGACAAGGCCAGTTGACTGTTAGTCATAGTGGTCAGCTACAGTACGACCTCGGCTCATTCATCATGCAGGGCATGAAGTGTAGGTTGATGAAGCTCAGCCTCCAATACTGAAACGGAACATAAGTGTGAAGCAGGCTCATATGTAAATGAGACCCGGATTTACATATCAGCAGCAGCAGCAGTGACAGCAGTAACAGCAGCGACAGCAGCAGCAGCAGCAGCCGGGGCAGCCGCCGCAGGAGCCGACAACGGAAGAAGCTAAGTGTATGTGAGCGTGTGTGTGTGTGTGTGTGTGTGTGTGTGATAAATGCACTCATTTCTGTGCTGCCATTGAAGCTGCCAAGGAGCAGAGACAAAATGGATGTTGGTGTGGCCTTGTTCCTGTCTGAAGACACATTTATCAGCAGCGTCTCCACCTTCTTCACCACAGCATGCATCCTCTTCATTAGTTAAGATTTCTTGCATTTTTTTTTATTTGCAATCCACATTGCTTTAAAATTTTATTTTTTGCTTCTTAAAACTTTGATATATTAACAGAAGATTTGGAAAATATGGAATTTTAAATGTGGACTTTTACAATACCCTTAGAATCAACTTTAACTAAAGGATATTTCAAAGACATATCACTCTGAGTCTGTCCTTAATTCTGTAACAAACAAATACACGCAGGTTTTGTTTATTTATAAATAAACACAAAGACTTCATCCTCAGTCAACACTTCACACACAGTGTCCAACATAATGAACCACACACATATGATTGTTGTTCCTACTTTAACAAGATGTACAAAAATGCAAGGCTAGAGCTGCATTAATGTAAATCCTGTGTATTTTTCAGCAACTTGACACAAATATAATTACACCTTTAAGTTTACACATCCCACACAGAAATCAAGGCAGCCTGCTGTTTTGCTGGTATTGTTCAGAGCCGAATTATTATGGCTTTAATTGTGGTATTTTGTTTGATTAATGAAGTGGTTCTCACCAAATCTGTGGCATTGCTTTGGCCGCTCTCTCCTGAAACACAAGAAAAATAGCACCATGGAGGAAGGGAGCGGATGAAAATAGCTCAGTAGGCAATCGCTGACTCATAAGGCAGAGCTGGGAGTCAGGAAGCCATCCATTCCTGTGTGCATCACATCAACTGGCTGTTGTGTAACTCTGGCACTGCCCGTAAATCAAACGGCTCTTAATGTGCACAGCTCCGTCCAACATACAGCCTTTTGTGTAAACATCCCATCTGCAGCTGCATAAAGAGAGGGCTCGGACATCACATGGTCCATTCATCACCACTGACAGCATCGCCTCCAGTCCTTGAGGCCAAGGACTGGAGTAGACAAGGCCAGTTGACTGTTAGTCATAGTGGTCAGCTACAGTACGACCTCGGCTCATTCATCATGCAGGGCATGAAGTGTAGGTTGATGAAGCTCAGCCTCCAATACTGAAACGGAACATAAGTGTGAAGCAGGCTCATATGTAAATGAGACCCGGATTTACATATCAGCAGCAGCAGCAGTGACAGCAGTAACAGCAGCGACAGCAGCAGCAGCAGCAGCAGTGACAGCAGCAGCAGCAGCAACACACACTGGTTATTCATACAGCCAATGAGCTTTCCTCCGTTCTTAGTACAAAACCAGACAGTGAGCTATGTATGGGTTTCTGAAAATCATTAAAACTGCAGGTTGGTGCGAGAATGAAGGTTTCATACAGAGCAGAAGATTCTGGAAGTTCTCTTATAAATGCACTGTAGCAGGACGTAAACAGTTTCAGTTTTAAAAATAGACCTAAGCCCAAAACAGTTCCACCTGAAGGGGACACTTTCTTTACGGAACCAGCCCAAAAATACATCTGACACGTTGCTGTTTGCTGTGTTTGCAACCCCAGCAGATACAGTACCATGTACTCTAGAAGACACAGTACTTACATGTGTTTCTTAGGTTACGCAGGGCGAGATTTCAGTTCTTGCTATTGTCAGTGTGTATAAATATAGATAGATAGATAGATAGATAGATAGATAGATGGAGGGATGGATGGATGGATGGACGGACGGACGGACGGACAGACAGACAGACAGACAGACAGACAGACAGATAGACAGATAGATAGACAGACAGACAGACAGACTTGGTCTGGAATCATCTTTGATGTCAGAACTGCAACCAAAAATGACAAAAACAGTTTATGCTTATTATAGATATTTTAGGGCAAACATTTAGCCTTTCTTCCTGTTACCAAAACTGAGAACTAGCTGGAGAAGCTAATGCCAGACAGAAGCATTAACAGACCTCAGATCTGCTGTGACGCAACACAACTGTTGAAGTACTGAGCTACGGAAAACCGAAGAGCAACCACACCGAAGGACTTTGCACATTAAACATTACATAATCTACATCTGTTTATTGCAGATTGCAGCCCTGCAGCGATGATGCATAATTGATGCATTAGTGTTTGGCAGCTGTCAGTGGTCCGACAGCTTTAGAGGTACATGAAGGTCACACCAGGGGTGCTGCAGCGTTTCCCTCAATCACATCTTTAATCACACTCTCCACCAGTCACTGAGTGTTTGGTGCTTAGAATAGAAAATAGAACAGATAAAACAAGTACAGATTTAATTTACTATATTTGAAGATAAACATTGAGGAATTAATCATAATTCAGATTAATAATTCATGTTCAACCATCCATTAATTAGGCCTAATGACTGTGATTAATCAGATTAAAAAATGTGATCACCTGACAGCGCTAAAACAAACACAAGAGAATCAGGGTATTTTGTATGTCAATTCATTACATCTACCCCCATCACCCCCCACCCCCCCATCTTTTCAAGTGCATGTGCAGGGCAGTTATCGTGCATCTAATAGAACAAGCAGCAGTGATGAAGCTGCTGCTCCGCACAGACAACAGTGAGTCATTGATCGTGCTTCTCTTCATTTTTCATTAACCACAAACTGTGCGGATCATCAGATTCCTCTGTGATGATTCTAAATATCATTTTCCAAAACATGACCAAGTGAGTAATAATGTTTCAAATAAATGCGCTGTCTGTGTGAGTAAATGGATAATTGTAATCTCCACCAGAAAGACATAGTATATGAAATAACCTGAAATATTCTGGTTACTTGTAGTATTTACAGTTACAAACGACCTTTGTGTCCACAGGTTGAGACTCCTCTGAATGATGCAGTCTCTGTTCAGTGGAGGGGAGCTGGAGCTGCTGGGAGGAGGCGGCGACGCCGGTGGCCTGAAGGAGGACGGCTGTGGCAGCGTAGTGTGGCGCTCCCCACCCCTGCCCCCGGACGATGTCTACGCCCCCAACCACTTCCCCCTCATCACGGCCTATCAGGACATCAAGACCAGGCTGGCCTGCTTGGAGCGAGAGAACACCAGCATCAAGAGGAAACTCAAGATCTATGAGATCAAGGTGAGAGGTCTGTGACGTCAGCACGGCCACACAAAGTCAAATGGCACAGCATTCTGGGAAACAGAGGGGAGTGGGGGGAGTAATAGTCTGAGTTGTTTCTGTCCAACTTATTTATCTGAAGCTTTTGAGATGAGGGTGAGGGAGTCGTGCACTCACCCTGAGTGTTTTCCACTTTTATTAAAGCAGAGTAACTGAACACATGGATGAAACACATGGATTTGCTCCTGGAGCAGAGACAGAACACATTGTTATTGCTATTGACATCTAGTCACGGGTCAGATGTGAAGTTTTTTTAAGGCCAAAAGTGGCCCCTGAGCCAGGAGTTTGTGACTGCTGCTCTGCAGAGGAACTATAATGTCCTTTAGGACGTGTTTTCAGCACAGCATCAGTAGGGAGCACAAACAGGAAATGCTGCCAATGATAAAAGTTATCAAAGAGGCTGCTGCGCTTGAAAACCTGGAGGAACACAGTTCTGTTTCCAGAATCTTGGCCTTGAAAGGATGACTTTGACAGAGAGGCTGAAACTCTGATTCTTTTCTGATGTCTGTCTTTTACATCTGTGACACTGAATCTATTTTTATTTTTTTGTTAAATGCTGTTGGATTCCCCTTAAATACATATATCAGTGCAGAAACGCAGCATCTCTCCACACACACACACACACACACATACACACACACACACACACACTTTGGACTCACAAGTGGCAGTTTGTTCAGAGCTGGTTCACAGAGAGACAGGTGTTGTTTTTCCAGGAACAGGTGCAGACGTTTGAGGAGAAAAGCGGTCTGATTTGTGCACAGCAGATTTTGATTATCAGCCAAAAGATTTGGGAGCACATGATGGAAGAGTGGTCAGTGCTCCGGCCTTACAGCTAGAAGTTCACAGACACTGGAATGGACTGGTGAACGTCTGATTGGCCAGGACCATAGAAAGGACAGACCAGTGCTGGATGAAGGATGGTTTGGATGATAGCTGTGGCGACTGTGTCCAGATTGCGTTGAAGTTACAGCATTTCACTGCTAATAGATTATTTCCTGTGTTTTTCCACTGCTTCCTGAACACGTGATGTGTGACTGCAGTTGCAGTGACGTAAATGGCAGAGCTTTACAGATAGCATGAATTGAGGCTGTTCTCTGGCTCCTGATGCTTGGCACTCAGTGAATTCTCCAGACCCCCTGGGGGTCAGAAGTGGGAGTGAGGCAGTTTGCCCATGCAGTGCACATTTACTGTTAAAGTGAGCAGAGAGAAGTGTTTTTGGCTAAATGGAAAAGGATGTTTTTCTCCCCCTCCAGACAAACGTTACATCAGCGTCGATGGTTTCACGCCGAAAATAAAAGCCCCCCCCCTCCCCCCGCGCACTTGTGTTATGCACTCTAAATGTAAATGTGGTCATTTAGGCCGAGCCACTTGCCGTTGCATAACATGTCTTGCATGTTGCCGTCACAGCGGTCTGCTAACAACCAACACTTCAGCACAGCACAGCAGAGAGACAAATTACTCCGACATAAAACAATGGTAAACATTTAGGCCTGTTCTACCGTCAGGACGATGTGCATTAAGGTAACAAGATGGGAACATAAAAAATGGACATCATCATAATCATTTGACATAAACAAACCAAAGGTCCTGATACAGTTCATCTTCTAAAAGTCTTTCTCTGCTATTTGACAGTGTTTGACAGCAGAATATGTCTAAACACGTCTTTAAAGGCGTTCTTTGGTGTAAACAAAGATAATAATCATTTCTGTCCTCAGAGACCTGACAACTTTAGAGAATCATCAGTGACTGAAGAACAGTCTTCAGACAAAATGTCCAAATACCCGGTTGAGCAGTACGGTGACGTTATTTATTCGGAATCACTTCTCCAGACGTGAGTCTGGGGTAAATTTATTTTAAACATCCCTGAGCTTTGGTGCAAACTAAAATAAGGTCGAATAAATCCAGTCTGTAAATATGCAGAGACAGACAAGGTGGTGAATTGGCAAAGAGCTAAATAGATTGTGTGGGATGCTGTGTGTGTGATTCTACAAATAGTGTAGAGGGACGTGAATTCAAAATCTAGTTCAAGAAGAAAAATAACATGACAGTGGATTTCAAATGAATCTCTGAGTGATATCTGTGCCAGGGCGGCGGCGCCTTTGATGAACAGTGAATCTTTAATGATCCCAGTGTGTTATCATCAAACAAAACCCAGAATGTGGTGAGCACGAGCAGAGGCAGAGACATAAGAACTTAGTGAGATCATCACTCTGTTTACTTCCCAGTGTCCTTTCTAACTTGGTCAGGATATTCTTCTGTTCTCGTCTTGTTTTCTCTGCAGTTCCCTATGATCAGCGAGTTTGGGGACGACACCAACTCCTACTGCTCCTTTGAAAGCAAAGAGACAGTGCTGCTGCACTCGGAAAATGACAATCTGCAGCAGAGAGTCAACGTCCTGACCCATGAGGTAAAAGCAGAGATGAGGACAACGGGGGAGGATGGGAGGAGGCAGCGTAGAGGAGGGGAGACATGAAGTCAGATGAGGACAACAGGGAGGGACAGACGAGGCAGAGGAGAGAGGGAAGGAGAGGAGGATGTTCTCTCCAAGACTCAGGAAATAATATTTTTGCTATACACTTACTTCCAGCTGCTGTTCTAAGGATAAATCCTGGCCAAAGTCAAAGCTTCGTCTCCGTGGATGAAATGTGCAGACAGCCCTCCTCACATGTGTATAACTGAAGTACGAGTCAAACCAGGCCAACGCTGCATGGTAAAAAAAAACCAACAACAACAACAAAACACCCAGAACTAATTAAGCTATAAAGCTGCTGTTCAAGCAAAATGGCTGCATTGGGTGGTTTTCTGAGAAACTGTTCAAGCAGCAGTGTGACATGGGATTTTTTTTTCAACGATGTTCTATTTTTGAGGCTTGATATAAATAGGACTAAACCTGTCCAGGACTGCTGCTTCTGTACACCTTTTATATGAAGCCCTGAGGAGAGTGCCGTCGATGTTTCCTAACACCTATGGAGCTCAGTTCACATCCTGTGAATAACATGTACAAGTGTGTTCAATTAGAACATGACTCTTAATTACCATGAGCAGGAAAACTGCCGTTTCAGTCGTGTGTTTTGACGACTGGTTTCTACACCAAGCTACTCTGTGTGTAAATAGGCAGGAACACACCAGACAGCGGCAGCCAGTGAAAGCTTCAGACTTGGTAAAGAGAGCTAGACTGTCAGGGAGAAGGAGGAGATGGTTTATGGGAGAAGCACAAACGATTAGCCAGGGACAAACAAGGTCGCACGGCTCCAGCACCGACCATTTAGAGTAATGAAGCCGTGGCTCGGTGTGCTGCGGCTCACTGGGCATGCTCAGCTAGGACACACACACACACACAAACACACACACACAGAGAAAGGTGACGTGCAATATTTCTGCAACTGAAAATTTTTAAGGTCACAAAGAAAAAAAAGCTGTCTGATAAATGCTGTTGTGTTTGAGATGTTGTAAAAAATAACAATTCATTTTGTTGTGTGTAAACATTTGATGAGACCAGGTTTGAGATTTTCAGTATGAGCTTTTTCTCAGCAGTGAGTAATTCAAGGATTCTAAGATCACTTCTTGAGCAAAACGTTTTCTGGACAGACACTTTTAAGGCCGGGCACTCAAAGAAAACGTTTTGTTTCAAATATATTCACCTTTTTTTCAGTTGCTTTAATAATGGGAACCCCACAGTATTTTCTCTTTAAGCTTCATGATTTTGGAATCCAGTCATGGGCCAGATTGGACAGTTTGGTGGGACAGATTTGGCCCATGGGCCGCCAGTTAATAATCACTGCTATATGACAACAAGCGCGCAGACTGTGTCTCTGAGTGAATTTACTAGAAAAAGAAACAGTGACTTCACATATTATTTTGCCTTCATGTTGGTAATTGGGCAACACTAAAACTAGTGTAGCCTAACAGCTCATCTCAGGGGAACCATTGGGGAAAAACATCTTGGAGCTTAATGCCAGTGCTTTGTTTGTGGAGGAGACAATAGACTAGAACTGCTGTTAAAAATACAAAGAAAACAGAAAATGCTAATTGCTCCATCCAGCATGTAAAGTGAACATTAAAACAGTAATAATGAGAAGACATAAATATCCCCGGACTATTTAGTCTTTATGCTGGTGTCTGAATCTTATTTACTGCCCTGTACTGAACTCAGCACGGCCTGGGCAACAGTGTGAGGCGCTGTACTGTGATGGTCACCGTGGTTTGCTCCAGAGTGAGAGGAGAACAGACCAGCATGGAAAACCAAAAAGGAATTTTGCTGAAGCAGCAGAGAACAGTACCATTTCTGACCAAAAAGGTTTTTACAGTGGGATTTTTTTTTAACTGCAAAGGAAGACCTGACTCTCACCACTTTCTCTTTCACTGCAGCTCCAAAAGAGGAAGGAGAGGGAGGAGCAGCTGGAAGACGTGATCCAGGCCTACGAGAAGATTCACATGGAGAAAAGCAACCTCCAGAGGGACCTGGACAAGATGGTCAGGGAGATCATTTTAGTTCACTGAAACAACTGAAACTTAAATTATAATTTCACACATTTAAATGTTAGATTTATTGACAACCAAGTTACAGATGTGGCAGAAAGTGTCTCCTCCAGCATACTGGCAGGATATGGTGTTTGAAACTTAATTTGCATCTCTTTATCTCCGGTGATGCCAGCCTGGTAGTAAAATAAAGAGAAGCAGTCGCTTTAAAAATCCAGTTCTGTTTTTTTGTTTTTTTGTTTTGTTTTTTTTTATTGCACACTTCAGGCTGTACTGTTTATTTTGCCGTTCTTATAAAAATCCTTTTTTCCCCACTACTTCTCTGAGTAAACAGTGGTCAATGAGTCCTTTTAGTCATTAGGTGATTATTCTTCCTGACACAAACCAAGTCAGTATTATTTATCGTAGAATTGAATCCATTTCTCCAGTCCAGCATTCTCCTGCATCCACTGAATATTTTTAACAAACAATGATAAGATTTTACATTTTGCAAGTCATTTTGTGGGAGGCAGAGCCCGGAGCAGGGACAGAGTTCCTGTTTCCAGTTGAACAGGTTGGCTGGCTGCACTTTGCCACATACCCCTGTGTGAAAACGAGCCTGCTGAGCAGCCTGTGCACTTTCATGCAGTCAGTGATTAAGTCATGGGTTGAAACAACAGTGTTTGAAAAGCCACCTGTCATCAGCTGACACGGGGCCAAGGTCCCAGAGAGCTGAGCAGGCCTCATTAAATATAACTCCATCTACAGCACAACTCAAGTTCGCCTTCAAGTTCACTGATTATTGTATATGTCATTTTTGGTAACTGTACTTGAAAATGTGTGTGATTGAAGACCAGCCTGGTGGAAAAGCATGTGGAGCGGATCCTGAACCTGGAGTCAGCTCTGAGGCAGAGAGACAACTCGCTGCAGAAACTCAACATGCAGCTGCACAGCAAGGACATGCAGTACCTGCAGCTGCACGCCGGTCCAGACGCTCACAGTAAGTCACCACCTACAGGAACTGCTAGGAACTAATGCACGGAGCAAATATAACTGAGGTTTTGCCAAAGTCAGACCAATACTGATGCCGATGAATAGCTTTATTATTATATTTATGTCTACAAAAACCTTGTCACAGCAACCTTTTACACCAGTGGTTCCCAGATATTCTGCAGAGCCCCCTTTGTGTAAAAAAATAATCCAAAAAATACATAGTATATTTAACTGAATCGCATTTAAAAAACTAATTTGATCCACCTTCTCATTATAGTAATAACCACATCACATCAGTCTGAATGCATCACATATGCATCATCCTATATGGATGGAAAATGTCAATCAGTCCCAGCAACTTTACAGGACCATCGAGTTTAATCATCATCAGTAATTGACGTTTTTGAAGTCAATTTTCTTCAGTCTGCTTTCTTGACTTTGTTACCTTTAAAACAGCTGCTGACGTACTGTAATCTTCACTAGTGTCAGGTATAAGAAATACACTGTGGAGCTATACAGTGTATGGTGTTATTGTATAACCTTGCCTGTTGTAAAATGGATTTAAAAGTTCAGGGACTGTTTTTATCTTTAGCCAGAGCTTTTAAATTCCCTGTCTCTCATCAAAATATGTGTCCAATCCACCAATCTGTCCAGGAGGCTCTTGAGGTCAGGTTAATTTCCAGCGTGTCGGAGAAAAAACAGCCTTAAACAGTTTGTTCCACATTCAGTCACAGACGTGGAATAAAGGCCCTGTGATCTGTGCGGGTGTTGCTGTTTGATATTCACTCATCCTGGCTTCAAAAACATGTTGAGTGGATGGACTTTTTCTGGAGCGTTGATAATGTCTCTGTATTATTCAGCCTGTTTCGTCCCTCTGCACTGACTGGACTCTGTGAAGGCTGACACATGATTGGATTTGTTTCTGTGTAAATGTTTTCCTCTGGCAGGACTGGATGCAGTTGCTCTGTAGAAGGCTACTCCCTCCAGCTTGGCTATTCTAGTCTCCCCAAAAATGGCATGTGAATACAATTCTATAACAAATGTGGATTGATTTATGATGACAAGACCCTGTGGCAGAAATGACCAAAGTCTGGGGCACGGGCCAGTCCTGGCCCTTTGACAAGGACATGGATAATAATGACGATGTATTTAATTTAATGACTTACTGAGAGCTTTGTTCTGTAACGATATGAGCAACGACATGTTACTGAAGACACTAAAGTCAGCTGTAGCCATACTGCATACCACTATCACAATTATTTACAATGTAATGAATGCATTGCATGCAGAATATACTGTATATATATATATATATGTTGTTCAATTTCAGGGGAGTTGTTTGCCTCCTGGTTGTATTTTGGGTTATCATGAAATAAAGATTGACCATCCCTGGTCCACGGGCTCGAACTGCAGCCCTGTGTTGATCACAGTGGAGAGTCTCCTTGAGAGTCCAAGTCTATCAAAAGTTATTCTCATTGGCCGTGTGGGTGGCTGATGAAAACATGAAACCTGAGTGTCACTGCCGTGTCAGCAAATGCCTACGGTTGTGATGTTCCCTCAGTTAGAAGCTGTGTTGTCTTGTTAAAGGCAGAAAGACATTTGCACTCTTTTAGAATAATTGGTGAGTCAGACCATTTGGTCCTTTTATTACCACTGAAGGTAGTAGTGATGGTTAAACAGTGTGAGGATTAGTGCAGACCCTGTGGGGCAGCGTGTGTGTGTGACTGACTGTACATACCACAGTGCTGATGAGGAGCTGATGCTGCTGCATGGATTCTTTGTCTTCTGGCTCAAGGACTGACTGAAGCTGAATCACTCACTTGCCCACGCAGATCACATCACCCAGGTGCAGGCTGAAAGAAGCCGTCCTTGGAAGATCTCAGTTCTTTTGCTCTTTCACAATTACCTATTGTACCAACAAGCTGAAGGAGGTGATGATGCTGCATGAGCAGGAGAGAAAAAGGAGGCAATTAAAAAGAATTGTGCTGATGTCTTTTTTACATTTCATCCCTTTTTTTGACTTGTTTTTTTTTTTTTCTCTCTCGCCCAGTGCTGGACTGTCCAGCTCTGACCCTTCAGAGCTCCCGCAGCCTGGACACCCTGTCAGACCTGAAGTTGCAGAGGCTGGAGGCCGAGCTGGAGGGGGCGAGGCACGAGGCTCAGGGGGCTTGTCAGAGGGAAGTGGAGATGAAGGTGGAGTGTGAGCGGCTGAAGGAGGAGATGAGGCAGCTGCAGAACAGCCAGAGGGAGAGGGTCAGTGTTTGTTTACACAGATATTAGTGAACCACAACAGTGATGTTGTTGTGAGAGAAGGGGAGCAACCAATCAGAACACGTCTACATTTTAGTAGCTGTATGGCCCCAACCTGACAGTGGAGTGGCTCCCAACCAGCAGTGTGTGCATCATCACCTGTATCCAAGAAACACAAACTCACAAAAAATACATTTGGATCTAAACAAAGGTCTTGTTACAACAGAATATAGAACTGGATTGGCTCAAATGTTAACACAGCTTGTTGATTTCTATCAACACGATTCTCTCTCTTTAAACAAAAGGCGTGCTGAGTGCCACATTGTGGGTCCAATCTTAACTCCCCAATGCTTTTGTACACATCATCAACTCGTCGTTTGTCTCAGCCCTGTAACTAACTCCTATTAGTCATATTTGAAAGATTACAGTGAAAACCATATCAAAACTCAACATATATTGTCTTGAAATACGAGCGCTGTTTATTGAATTGTCATTGTTGGCGATGTCACACTCTCTTTTCGTGATTTAACTTATAATTTCATCAGGCTCCTGCCGCCAGCTTTGGTTCAATATTCCAGCTGCACCTGCATGCTAATCTAATTTCACGCTCTGCTTCAACAGGAAATGACTTCACCATGCAAGCAGTGTGATGTGGAGTGGATAAAGAAGGTGGGAGATGAGCAGTAAGTGACCACAGCAAGTCTTTCAGTTGGAGGGAAACAACGACAAAGGGCGGGAGGGAGGGTGGAGGAGAGGAGAAAAGGAGAATTGTTATTGGTTAAGATTGATTCATTCATGTGAGATCATCTATTACAAAGACATGTAATTAGGAATTTAAAAAAAATAAGGAAGGAATACTGTTTCCAAAGCCACTGCTCATTTGTACATCCAACTCTCAGGCTGACCTCTAGGGGTCTCATTAGGTATTTGTTGAGCTCTTCAGTATTGGTATCTGTATCCAAACAAAACACTGGGGTTTTATTTAACCCAAAATGAACTAATAATGCATTCCACCGTAACACCACACAGCCTGAAACAGTCACTTCCTGAGGCTTGGTAGCAGCTAAATCTGAGCAGTAGGCGGCAGTGTAACACAAAGAATAACGCCTTGCTGTTGACTTCCTCTTGTCTGTGTACAGATTATTGTTCAAGTCAAACTCACTTCTTATTCATGTCACCCTATAAAACAATATTATGAAGGGAAAAAACTTTGGACCTAATATGTTTTCCCTTCCTTGTGTCACTAGCAGTTAAAGTCAGAAACATGTCATATGCAACGCAAGCCGATGTGTCATACGCAGGTTAAATGGTCGAGGCAGTGCGTATGTGCTTTGCTCACAGTAGGAAAGGGAAAAAAAACCACAGCAAGTTGGGCAACTGACTCACACTAAATGAAACCTCACAACGTTTTCATTACAAAAAGCAAACTGAAAGTGTACGGTGCGGCAGAAAAGTAGAGCTCTGAGTGACTGTGTGTGGTGGAAACCCACGGCTTTTTCCAGACCTTGGTCACCTTTTGGTTTTACTCAACAATATCACTTACGCCCACTGAAAAACCTACAGTGCCCACACTCTGTTTCCTGGTGCTTTTTCTTGTAATTGGGTCTATTTAGTGTAAACTGCACAGATTGATTTTGTGTATGTTCTTCAACACACATCCACACAAAGAGAGCACACACTGTTGATACAGCATCGGAGATACAATGGAAATCATTGTGGTATATTATAAAAAATATTTTTGGAAAAAATTGTAAATCAAATAAATGTTAATCTTTCGTTTCTTTTCACCAAAATAGATATATGTACATATATATATATATATATATATATATATATACAAATATATATACCTACATAAATACACAGTATGTGTGTTTAATGTATATATGTTTGCGTATTATGATCTCATCATAATCTCCTATTTACCTGAGGAGTTTATGGTTTATATTTAAAATGATATGTGATTTTAATTGTAGGAATTCTGATCCGTTGCGGAGGACTAGCCAATAGGAGTCTGACTGTGGCACAGCTTTTTCAGGGTGTGGACATCAAATCAGGCTGGCTAAGAGGAGACAGTGCAGTAGATCATCATTTCATTTACCTTTAAGTTGGATCAACATTCGTAAAATTCACATCACTCTCACATTCTTTATTTTTTTAATATAATTTATTATTATTCCAACTTGACTACAAAAAAATGTGCTCATTCCCCCTTAACATGGAGTTTGAAGTTTTTCAACTCAAAATGCTGTGATAATTGAATTTTACATTAGGTGACCTGGGGAAAAATCACTCTAACTGAATTCATACAGATAAGAAAGAAAGAACATCTTTCTCCCACTATACATCTAGATTTCTATCCTCCAGCAGGTAGAAATATTTTTTAAAAACCCACAGTGACAGAATCAGTCCAGAATCAGTGTGTTTTTTTATCTTCAATTCTATCCTGTATAAGTTTGACAACATTTATTTCACCATCTGACTGATATCCATATATTTTATTCGATTTTAGGATTTTTTTTTCAGCCCAGTATTACTCAGACATCACCTCTCTGCTCCGGGTACCAACCACAAACCCCACACTGTCAGCCGTGGCTGCCACCTGTCATCACACCTGAGCTGCTGACTAACACTCCTTCGGCTTTCACTGAACTGATCCATTTACAATAAATCACAACAGGAGGATTTCTGGGTTGAGGTGGAATCCAAAGTTTTTGTTTAGGATGTCTTTTTAAAAAAGTACATTCAGACTGAAACTTCCCTTAACTGTTCTTTCCACACAGTGAGTTGTTTTACTTCAGCCTCACTAAGATGAACACAAGTTTAAGTTAATACTCATTATTCATTATTAATAAAGTTCAGAGTTCTCCAGCACAAAATGATGAAAGTAATTATGAAATGTAATTTACCACAAACAGTCACAGGTTCTCACTTCAGTCCTACAACTGACTAAATTAAACGCTGAGTGACTTCAATGAACTGAATAAAAATAAAAATTCTCTCTCTTGAAAACTTCAAGAAAGAAGAACAATGCATGACCTCTGTTTTCCTTGATTTCTAAAGAAATCTGCCGTCATTCGATTAGATCCGACTGAACTCTATCCATCCTGCAGTGGAGAGATTGTTAAAAAAAAAGAGGAACACTTGAATCTGCGAGTCATCGTAGGACATGCTGTTAACTGCCAACATATTCAGGGGCAGAGGGGAATATCCGGACATTAATTCAAAGTTATTGTTTTTTTGACAAAAAAAAAAAAAAAAACCTAAAACATGTTGTGTGACTATTTGCTTCCTCTTCGCCCACTCCTGGTCAACTTTACTGTTACACAGAGTATAAAACAAATAGCAAGTTGGGATCACAGTGAAGTACTGCAGAGCTAACTACATGTTAGCGTCAGCTTGTGAGCACCAGCTCAGCCCATCAGGAAGGATCAGCACCATGATCACAGTTTGACTGTATACACTGAGGTGTGTGATAAATCTGCCTTACAGCTGGCATGGATCTCAAACAGTCACCAGTTGTACCACGACCCAGTCCTGGGTCACAACCCACCTAGACACCAATTACGTGAGCATTTCACTGACTTAAACACCCATGGGGCTGCATGTTTGCTGCACTGCTGTGGGACACAGCGACACCTCCTGGGTCCAGCTGAGAATGCCTGAGTGTGTGGTGCCACAGATTGGACTGCAGAGTGTTTCAGGCTCTCCCAACATCATTTTATTTTAAGAACCTCTCTTCACTTTCAACTACCAAACATCAGCACACTGAGGCATGGTTAAAGGAATATTTACAGACACGGTGCCTTTGCTGAGCGGAGTTTATTCCAGTGTTAGTTCTCCTCAGAGGCTGTGTGTGTGTGTGTGTGTGTGTGTGTGTGGGACAGGTATTTTTAGAAAAAGACGCTTAGCAGAAAAACTCTGCTTTTATGGGCGGCTGCAGTGGCAACCCCAAAACAAAGGTCAGACGTCAGCCCACATATAACACACACACACACACACACACACACCGTCATTAAGGGTCCCTGATCTGTTTCTGTGCTGCAGCAGCATCTTCACACTCCTCCTACACGCTGCATTAATCACTGTACAGTGCAAGTATGTTTGAGAGGTACTCACGTACAAGCAGATTATTAAAAGAAACTATTTTGATAAATGCTTTAAAGCAGACACATTGTGTATTTTTAGATTGTCGAGGACAAAGTGAGCATTTCAACAACTTTCTTCAACGCTAGAAAAATAAAAACAAAGCAAACAAAAAAACAGCGTTGCTCCTGCGACATGGCAGGTGTTCACACATCAGTCGTTCACACCTAAGTTTTGCTGCATGGCATCAGGGGTGTGATGTGTTGCACTGTGGCCCACATTCAACAGATTTCTGAAACGCTCACAATACAGCTGCTTCTATAAAAGGTTATACATGCGTTTAGAAGAACACACAGTGCAGTGCAGTGAGACACTGTGAAGCTGAAGATGAATGGCCCAGAGTCAAACAGGACAAATGTGACTTTTATGATACACAGGCCCAGGAGACTCAGCCGTTCTGCCAGTAAGTAACTGAAATTAATGTTATTTTCCGACTGATCACTGCAGGGGTCAGCAGAAACAGGGCTGTTGTATGTTATCAGGCGGGGGGATGTGAGGGTTAGAGACCCCACTTCTGTTTTGTTTGTTTTTTCTAAAGTTTGTCAAAAACAGTGTCCCTTCTCCATCAGTAACATCCCATGCAGTGTTTCTTTCTTGAGCCACAGCACATATATATCATCAGGTAAAACCACACGGCACACCACCAAACACAAATCTTACAAAAAGTATATGTATGTGTGTAAGGAAATATAATAATATTCTAGTTTAAATGACCTCATAATTTACTGGCAGGAATTCAAGAAAGACACTCACAAAGATCTTCAAAACGGTGTCTTCACAAAGAGATTAAGTGAAATTGGAGAATTTTCCACGGCACACCTAATAATCTCTCACGGCACAATGGTTGGGAATCACTGATCTCATCGATGTCTGTACTGTTCATGTGCAAGATGTTCGAACACGTCTTTGGAAACTGTGCATGTGCATCGGCAAAACTAGAGCAGCTGCCGTTTTAACAAAAACTCCTCCTGATGCAAATAAATACTCCACCGTTCTAGAGGAAATGTTTTAGAGTTTATAAAAAACTGGTTACACATTTCAGATAACTGGTCTCTTATCAGATTTTAGAGGTCACTGCCAGACACAGTGACTCATTAGTGTACAGTAGCTGCTGTTTTCTCTCTCTCTCTCACACACACACACACACACACACACACACACACACACACAGTGAACATCTATCAGTACAGAATGCTCCCCGCATCTCGTCTTTTCACATTAATTTAAACTGCTGGATTCAGATCAGCAGCCAGATACAGGGGCTAAAACCAAAAGAGCCGTTGCCATGGTTAAATCAGGCAGCAGCAGCAGCAGCCCATTGGTGTTTACGCTTCTGGAAATAGAGTTGCTCCGTCAGAGCGGCTCCTGAGAGAGAGTCATGACACATCTTGCACAAAGTGGTGTGATTTTTGAGCACTTCATTTATGTGCCGTGATACGCGCCTCCATAAATATAATCCTTCATTCCTCTCAATTAGTCGGCTGGATTGCGAGAGGCCTTGTTAGCACTGGGGGAAAAAAACCCAAACAATCTTTTTTAATTTTGGAGATAATGATCACGGTAGTTTCAAACAATAGAGCTCTATTAAAATACATTATAATGCTGTACTGCAGTTTTTATACTAATGACATCCTTCCTCCCTCTCCTCCAGGGTGAACCTGGCTCTGGCCTACACAGAGCTGACAGAGGAGCTGGGGCGCCTCCAAGCACTGAGCTCCAAGCAGACGGAGATCCTGAGGAAGGCCTCACAGGAGCAGGCCAGTCCAGGTGAACATCTACATGCTCTGATCAATTTAGGGGAAAATACATAACAAAAATGTCCTTAAAAAAATAAGTGCAGTATTCACTTTACAACAGGCTCAATGGCCCACGGGCCCATTATATCGTGGTGTCTTACAGCCTGAAGTCCACTAGTTGAGCCACACAGGCAGTGAGGTGACTGGCGTGAAGCGGAATAATAATATATTCACATTTTTCCCTTTTTCCATACAAACAGAAACAAGAACACATAAGAGTTTCTGTATCTGAGGTTTGAACCAATGTTAGTGCCGTGGCCTAGTTTTGGTTTTGGTTTGTTTTACCACATACTGTGAAATTATGACTTTTTTTAAGCTGTCATCAGCATAGAAGTGAACTGCTATATTGACTACTTTCTGTTTCCACCGAATCTTTACATGGAAAATACTTTTTTATGTATTTTTTGAGAAGGAAGGAAAAAGTGTGTGTGACAGTTTGTACATGCACAGAGGAGATGTTTTGTGGGTTGAATAAATCATTGAGCATTTCTTCAAGAATAAAAGAAATAATCATCTGATATAAATCAGAAATGTTCGTGTTTTATCAAGACCCTACACAGGGCTACTTTAATGTGATTTTGTACAGAAATACCAAGTAAAACCCAGAAAGTGAATTTATTAGTGTTTAGACAAAACTTCTGAGAAAGTCAAAAAGTACAAGGAGAAAAGGAATTCACATGTATTTAGTGAAATGACAACTCCTTTTCTCTATGTGTCATGCCATTTACCATCGGGTGAAAACTTGCTTTTGGAAGTGTGTGTGTATATGTATTCATAAGCTTGTACTGTGTGTGTGTGTATATATATATATATGTATATATACAAATATATATATACATAAATATACATACATATGTCAGCACAGTAATTATACCCAAAGTATTGTTTCCTACACGTTTGTCTTTAAAAACAAACATAATGTTTCAAAACTCCACATTGTGATCTGTTATCGTTTTCTCGTGTTCGCCTGTAGAAACTGTAGAAAAGAATGTACAGTACAAAGCACCAAACTGTTGCAGCAACACCTTCGTCTTCCTGCCCTGTGTTTAAGGTCTCACAACTGTACACCTCGTGCCACTACAGTCAACAACAACAACTCACAAACACTTATGATATATATATATATATATATATACATATATATATTATATATAGTTATATATATTTACACATATATGATTGAAATACGGACACACAGCTTTCCACTTTCTTTGCATCACTTATGCACCATACAAGAATAGGCCTGGGGTTGGACTGCATGTACAACCACAACATTCATTTCAATATGATTTAAGGAAAAGATAAGGGAAGTGCTGACTCCTGCACTATAAGAGTAAACATGCAGTGGATGGTTTTATTTCAGTATTTCCTGCTCATATAGAGGCTGAGCAGCAGTTTCTGAGTAACAAACAGCCCCTCCTCTTTAACACCTTCACCGGCCGGCCATGATGTTTCCTCTTCAATATGGGAAGTGGAGCTGAAGTGGCAAAGGCGATTGACTCATCAACGCATCTTGTAATTACAGGAAATGTAACAAATGAACTTCTGCGGAGAGAGCTCTTTGAGCTTTAACTTTACTTTTTCATATATATATATATATATATATATATATATATTAAAGAGCACCTAAGTTTTTTGGTTTACTCTTTTAGCTTCACATTAGACAAGTTGCTACAACAGATGGAGCAGCTCGGCCTATGTTGGCACAGAATTGTGACATTTTTCCTTTGAATGTCAGCAGCCAATTTTTGGTGAAGCTTCAATTGTCGTCATTTAATCGTATTTTCAAACTCAAACACATCCTTCAGTAACGCCCCAGCCAACTATGCCTCAGCTACCCTGGAGGATTTTATTTAAAGTTTAACTGTTAACTTTTTTCAAACCTTTAGCCTAATTGAAACTAATTTAACAGTAGCATTAAATGTAACCATTTCCTGACTGACCGGTAACTTCTTGGCTAACCTTTAGTTATCCTCTGGTTAATAACTAATTGTTACTAAATTGTTATATTTTATTGTATTTTGTTAATATTTTGAACAGTTTGCACTGTTTTACAGATTTTTGTAAACCAACTCACAAAAGTTGATGTTTTTTGTTCGTCCTTTAGTCTCTGAAGAGTTAAAAAATGGTATTAGTAATGGTAAAAAAGGTATTATTATATTCTTAAAAACGTTCCGTGAATGACGACTGGTCTGACACGTATGTTCCTACTCTGTGTTTCCTCAGTTCAGCGTCACTCTCCTATCCAACACCAGCGCCACTCTCCGGTCTCTCAGCGCCACTCTCCCATTTCACAGCGCCACTCCCCAGTTCCTCCTCAACCGCACCACTCTCCAATCCAACAGAGACGCTCCCCAGTGCTGCAGCGTCTCTCACCTGACATGCATCGTCGCTCCCCTCTACTGGACGTCAACGACGGACCTGCCTCTTACTCCTGCCGGCCACCCAGCCAGCACCTACGCGCCAGCTTCCAGGGCCGCCGCAGTTACTCAGAGGTCGCCGACCCCTCAGCTTACCAGTGCCCGCCTCGCTTCTCTCTGGACCCCATCTCCACGCTGCCAAAACCTCGGCCCTATGTTGAGAGCTACCAAAAACAAAAACAAGCTCAACTTGTGGGCTCTCCCCGAGGCGGACTTCAGCACAGGGGTTCCCCCTCACCTCATCAAGGTGGTGCAGGTGGAGACGGTGGTCTCTTGGAGAGCCCCATGCGCCACTCTAGAGAAATGCCATTCCCACTTTCTGAAGTGGCCCACCTTCATTTTGAGCCCCCTCCACCTTCTTCACCCGCCCCTCAGCCTCCGCAATCCTCTGAGGATGAGGAGGAGAGGACCCGCCCGCATCCCATCCCACCCACCCCCACCTGTCAGCAGCCAATTTTTGGTGAAGCTTCAATTGTCGTCATTTAATCGTATTTTCAAACTCAAACACATCCTTCAGTAACGCCCCAGCCAACTATGCCTCAGCTACCCTGGAGGATTTTATTTAAAGTTTAACTGTTAACTTTTTTCAAACCTTTAGCCTAATTGAAACTAATTTAACAGTAGCATTAAATGTAACCATTTCCTGACTGACCGGTAACTTCTTGGCTAACCTTTAGTTATCCTCTGGTTAATAACTAATTGTTACTAAATTGTTATATTTTATTGTATTTTGTTAATATTTTGAACAGTTTGCACTGTTTTACAGATTTTTGTAAACCAACTCACAAAAGTTGATGTTTTTTGTTCGTCCTTTAGTCTCTGAAGAGTTAAAAAATGGTATTAGTAATGGTAAAAAAGGTATTATTATATTCTTAAAAACGTTCCGTGAATGACGACTGGTCTGACACGTATGTTCCTACTCTGTGTTTCCTCAGTTCAGCGTCACTCTCCTATCCAACACCAGCGCCACTCTCCGGTCTCTCAGCGCCACTCTCCCATTTCACAGCGCCACTCCCCAGTTCCTCCTCAACCGCACCACTCTCCAATCCAACAGAGACGCTCCCCAGTGCTGCAGCGTCTCTCACCTGACATGCATCGTCGCTCCCCTCTACTGGACGTCAACGACGGACCTGCCTCTTACTCCTGCCGGCCACCCAGCCAGCACCTACGCGCCAGCTTCCAGGGCCGCCGCAGTTACTCAGAGGTCGCCGACCCCTCAGCTTACCAGTGCCCGCCTCGCTTCTCTCTGGACCCCATCTCCACGCTGCCAAAACCTCGGCCCTATGTTGAGAGCTACCAAAAACAAAAACAAGCTCAACTTGTGGGCTCTCCCCGAGGCGGACTTCAGCACAGGGGTTCCCCCTCACCTCATCAAGGTGGTGCAGGTGGAGACGGTGGTCTCTTGGAGAGCCCCATGCGCCACTCTAGAGAAATGCCATTCCCACTTTCTGAAGTGGCCCACCTTCATTTTGAGCCCCCTCCACCTTCTTCACCCGCCCCTCAGCCTCCGCAATCCTCTGAGGATGAGGAGGAGTGGACCTGCCCGCATCCCATCAGCCCCCCCAGGACCCTGGGAGTGCTTCCTACAGCGGTGCCCAACAGTGTCATGAGAGGCCCGGCGTCCTGCTCGGCTTTTCCCATCCCTCAGAGGTCCAACACCCTCAGCTGCCACCCACAGCTGGGATACATGTCAGCTGAGCACGCTCAGTCCTGGCCTTCCATCAACGTGAGTTCAGTCTATCATTACATTCAGTCATTTCAATTCCATTTATTTGACACAAGGCCAGGGGAACTCTGCCTCAGGTGTGCTAAACCACAGAGGGATTTTTTTTAATTTTACAGAAAAAAAAGGTTTTCCTTCACTTAAGCTTAAGACCCTTTTTTAAACTGCATGTCACAATCATCTCAGGACATCTGTCTTCACAGTGACTCTACCTACCTCTTTTTATTGGCTAATACTTTTGAGGGTGAGATGAGAAGTTTGATATGGATCCAGTGACAGAGCATTCTATACCCGGCTTAGAACGACTCAGTGTAAAAAGGGAAGCAGTTAATTTGGTTCCTGCCTGTACATTTATCACCCTTTTTTTTGCCTCTACATTAGCGGGGAAAAAACGTTAATTATTGAAGAAGTGTTACGAAACCTTCTCGACAAGCTAGCATCACAAATGTGGGCGAAGTAACAAGTCAGCAATAGGGAGACTGTTGTCTGTCAGAAATGTACAATGTAAACGGATGCAGTGCAAAAAAACCACAGCAAGACCTTAACCATCAATGTGAAGAGTACAACATACAGTAAAGACTTGGTCGGCTAACAAGATACATATGTTCTTAAGTATGACTGAAAGACCCAAACTGAGCCAAGAACATTTCCACATCATAATAAAGAACACCTTCACTTCTGACGACTGGATAGATCCAGGATTTTAACTGGTTTAAGCCAAACTTCAACTCAACTGAAGCAGATTTGTGTGTACTTCACATGTTTAGATGCAGTACTGTATATGAAACATATATACATGCAAAAGACAATTGCATAATTGTCCCTAATGAAGTCCTAATAAACCTCTGGTCACAGGTAGATGTGATGGGTGTAGACGAGGTTTAGTCAAAACAGTGTCCAGTGATAAATACTGTTTCCACTCAATAGAAACTAACTTAATAAAACAGGATTTTCTATTCAGTGTTCAGTGAAACTGACTGACTGACTGACTGAGAGTCTAAAGTTTTCTGGAACTCTCTTCTGCTCTTACTCATGTTATGACTCATCTAATAATTTATACAGTATTGTTTTTATAACCAGCAAAGTATCTGTGTGTGTGTGTGTGTGTGTGTGTGTACAGCTCTGGATGGAGACTGAGGAGAGCGACTTGCGCAGCTGCCCTCTCTGCCAGCTGATATTCCCTGTTGGTTACCCCGACGATGCTCTCATCAAGCACATCGACTCCCACCTGGAGAACAGCAAGATCTGATCACCATGGCAACAAGTCCACATCCACATCTGCACTCTCCTCTTATGTATAATATAAGGGGATCAACAGGCCTGGTGATGTGCAAAGTCCACCTCAGAATTATACTTTACCCTATGGTGGGGATGTCAAACGGCACAGGAACTCTTTTTTTTTTTTTTTTTTTTTTTATGGGTTGTTTTACACAGAGGTCCATCTTGGAGTTGTGAGTCTACATGAACTAATGTCATAATGGCCCCTAGGATATTCCTGCCTGTTTGATCACCAGGTCTGGTTGCAGATCTTTTGACTCTTGTCGTGCACAGTTTCAGGTATCGTGTCGTTTTGCGCATCACAGTTCAGGAGCTCTGCATGTCAAAGAGTTGTTGTCAGTGTTGAAGAGGAAACGATCAGGGAGACCTCAGCATCAGACACACTTCATTTCTCACTCTGAGCTTTAACGTCTGTACTCTGTTATAGTATACTTCAGTGTGATGAGTGCCAGGGACCATGGCTGGGTTCACGGTGGTTTGTTACTCTTTGATTAGTATGCAGTACAGTACAGTACAGTACAGTAAGAGGCAGGGATGAGTCATACTAACAAAGTTTTAGGTTTTAATACAGAAGTCTTGAGAGGATGTTGCTGCAAAGAACTTCATATTCTGACTACAGTTCACGTTTCCAAAACCTGTGGAAATGTATACTTTTCTATTACAACTAAAAGGGTAATCAGGCTTTTTTTTTTCCAACACAGCAGTGTTTTTTTGTTTTGTTTTATGCAGTCACCAGTAAAAACCTTTGGTCTCAAATAGATTGAGTTAATTCATTTGTGGCAAACTTAGCTGTTATAAAGCCAGGGTGAAGACAAGGATGAAATTTGTTAACATCCTCAAAAATCACTACAAATGCTACATAACATGAATTGGTTTGTTACCAGACAGAATAAATTAGACTGTTTTGTTCAGCCCAATCGGTAAAGTTGATTCTCGTCCACATTCTGGGCTGCTTCCCAGCCCCGAGACGTAGGAGGACAAATAGGACAACTAGTCAATAATATGTTCAATAACAAGGCAGTTCTCAGTTCGTAGTCTCCCTCTGCCCCAGCTGCGTGTTACTTCCTACTTTAGTTTTTAGCAGCTGGTGGTTGAATAAATATGAACATTCTGTGGTTTACATATTGCAGCTAATAAATAACTTCTTCTGAAACATGTACTCGTGGTGGGTGCTTGTTTCAAAACCACACACGTTGTGTTGTTAAAACCTGGTTACATAGCATTTGTAATAGAATTTTGGGAATTCTCTAAGATAAAGACGAACAGTTTGCCACTCCATTGTCACCGTTACAAACACCTAGGACAGTAGGACTACTGAGTCGGAGTTTGTTTGTTTTTTTACTAAATGTTTGTACTCAGTGACTACAAACAATATTCCTGGGTGTGTAAATCTGCCTGATTTCTTCTTTAACAACGTAAAACATTCCAGTTTCACACTTGTTTAAATGGAAACACTGAATGTGAAGGTAGAGTTGAATCACTTAGGTGGTTTTACTCTAACTGTCTCTAATGCTGCCCTGCAGGGCGGGGCATAAACTCAGATGCTCCTTCTCTAGGAAGGGAGAACATTTTTGTCAGAATCTATTATTGTGCTTGCAGCCTGGTCAAAAAAAAAAAATCTATGTATATTAGCACTTTAAGTTAGCAATGCCTATATCATGTATCTGGTTTAATATATATATATATGTATATGTGTATACTCAGTGTATAATTTGATAATTTTCTCTTTGCAACAAGAAAAAAAAAGATATATTTTTGCAGATCTTGATGCACCTACTTTGGTGAAGTTTCTCCCACACGCTTGCAGAGTGACTTTTTAGTTTTAAGACCAACATTCCCCAGCTCTGTGTACAAAGACATTTTGGGATTCTCCTCGGTCTTCCTAAAGATCAACACTGCCCTGTTAGTAACAACACAGTAACACATACATGTCCCTGCATGACACCCAGCTCTGTGTACTGCTGTGTGAAGTGGTCCGGCTTTGTGAGTGCGATAAGTTTTTATCTCCTAGGAACTGAGGCCAAACACACCTCCTCCAACAGGCAGCAGCTTCTCTGCAGGGTTTACAGCAAAAACAATACTTTTTTTGATAAGTGTTGGTTTTGATTTTTATCTTAGAATCTTGATACGAGATCTTCTCACTGAACTTCTTTTTTTGACTAAAATTGAAAGAAAAAAACAACACAACGTTACACTGATGTCAGCTTATCTGAAGCTTTCACTTCCATGCAGCTCCTAGAGAAGGGAGATGTTCCCACTGGTGTATTTCAAACCAGTCAGAGGAGAGGGTTTAGAGAAGCACACAGTGAGTGTGGCCACAGGTTAGTATTGGATTCTAATATAATAATAAGGTTATGTTATAATAAGGTTTTCCAATTTCAAAAACCAAAGGATAAATACAAAAAGTTTTGTTCCTGCAGGAAACTTTCAAATATTCCATCTATCATTTTCCAAGTGCTTTAATACACGGCTGGTGTCGGCGTTATTTTACGTTACATACGGAAACTAAAGGATTCCTCAAAAGTATAATATATTAATACACACAAATATATAGACACATGCACATACATAGATAGATATATGTATGCAAATTCATCCTGCATCATCCATAAACACATGCACCCATCTGTGCAACAACAGCAGACTATAAGCCACAGTCGGGTGTTTTTTGAATTTGTGGTATACAAAATCAAATTCACACCACCACTTTTTTTCCAGTGAAGTACAGTTAGTTACTAGAAATCCCTATGTGTAACTGTTGTGCATTCAAAGCACTTCTGGATGCTGTAATGGAAAATGTTTCACTGATATGGCTGTAATGGGTTCTTCCTCTAACCATCCATCAACAGCAGGATTCAAGGTTGATTTGTTTTGTTGTTATTATGACAGAGAAACACTGGAGGCAGCAGCTACAACCTGTGCTAACCAGTTTCCTGGGGGAAATCCTGACACTTGATTTTACAAGACTTGTAAGATAAAAATGAAGTACAACATGAAATACTGTTGATTTTTCTTCTGCCGTCTCTTTATAATAACAACAATTTCAAACCAGATCCAAATTAAAACACTAATTGTCCTTTAAATAAAGACAAGGCGAGGTGTGTAATATAGAAATCAGTGAGATAGTTCATCATGAGCCTAAGAGAATACCACCATTCTGTATGTATGTATGTATGTATGTATGTATGAAACGTCAGTGTCTTGTCTGTACCACCACAACACCGTCTCAACATGATGAAGTGATGTGTCAGTGAGTTCAGCTGTAATTAGTTTTCAATCGGTGAATCCAAAGGACATCCACAAGTAAAAAAATAATAATCACACCTCCTTTTTTACATCCACGATGCAGAAAACAAAAATTGAGTGAAGAAAAGAAACATTCAACCAAATGTAGATAACACATTCATATGTCATGAATCATTACATTTTGATTTTAGCCAATCTTGGTCAATTCCCAAACTACTAGTAGAGTATTAGGGTCACAATTAAGATCATTTAAAATATTACATTATGAGAATAACGTTGTACGGAATATTAGGGGGAAAAAATACTGTTTTCATTACATTTCTGACTTTTTCAGTAACGTTACAACTTTATTTTTATTAATATACAACTTAATTCTGTTAATTGTATTTTATGATTTTCGGTTTTAATTCTCCATCTCTCCAAAACTTAGCACAACCAAGTTTTTATTTATTAATTTTGGTTACTTCTTTGGATTTGGAAACTTCTACACTTTACCAACACCTGAGTTGCTGCCATTTGTGTTTCATCAGGTTCTTATTTCTGCTCAGTGAGTTTCTTTTTTTTGTCAGTGTGTGACAGGGTGTTAACAACCACAACATACTGGTTGGCCTCTTCAACACAGAACCTTGTATCTATCTCACATGTGAAGTCACTGAATCATGCACCTGTAAGTTTGCATCTGCAACATGTCCTGGTTGTGCGCTTGCAAGTCGACATTTTATTTGGACGACCATTTTGGAGTTTTACATAAAATTTATCCAGTACTATGTTGTCATTTCACTCTGAATTCCTTAAGGATTTACTCAGGAGTCACATGACTAGGATTGACTTTCCCTGAGTGAATAATAAATGAGGCAGTGCTGTGACACGAAGAGTTACACACTGCAGTAATTAATTCTCCAAAAGGCATCGTTTGTTCCTCAACTGTGGTGGTGTTTAACCACTCGACCAGTGTGATTTAACACAGACACAAGTATCAACACTTTGTCACTTTGGTTTCTCTCTTTCTCTGTCTGTAAATAACCCCAATAACAAAGAATAAAAATTGTGCTGATATTTGACTCCATCTGACTTCTTCCATTCGTCCTCTGCAACATCTCACTCCAAACTGACCAGTTCACCTTCCTATTGCTGCTGTAACAACTTCATTACTCATTCAATGACCTAAAACAGCTACATGCTAACATGTAGCTGTCTGTATATTTATTTGTCTGATTTCAGGTATTCTGGGCGTACATCATATTTTTAGTCTTCAATATATTTTCCATCCATCCATTTTCATCCGCTTATCTGTTACCGGGTCGCGGGGGCAGCAGTCTCCATGACTGCCACTCAAATCACACTGCACCGTACCAACCCCCCTGAACCTTCCTGTGGGTGGTCAGTCCACTGGAAGGTACCAACTGCCCTAACCAGGAGGTGAACCCTGGGGTTCCACACCAATGACAGAGACGTTGCCTCTGAACCAGAGCACCACCAATATATTTTCTTTTTTCTTATTTTGCCAATTGTGAGACATTTTCAGGCCACATCATTGATCATCTGGCTGAGATTTAGCTTTTATTTTTTAAGATCTTTAACTCTACTGACGAACCTTGAGCATTTTCTCTGTAATCCTAGCACAATAATAAATAAATAATAAATAAAATAAGATGTACTGTGTATCCTAGTGAGTATGAACAGTACAAATAAATAAAAGTTATTAAACAGACTTTACACATATTTCATACTGAAAAACAATACAGACGCAAAGGACTTGAATCATCAACTTGTTGTTGTTGTATTTAGAGCAGCTGTGGTTGGCACATCAACAAAAATACTTTCAGAGCAAATGCAAGTTCTATGAAAAAAGAACAACAAACAAAAGAAAACAGCCTGACCTATTTCAGTGTGAAGGACATTGTATCTTCTCCCCTACATTTTTAGCACGCTGTCGCTAACCTCACTATTTAGCCTATACCTCAGGAAGAGAAAAGTGCACCCACCCATCCGGGCCACAAACCCACAAACCCTAAGATGCAACATGCATCATGAGCCTGCGTGGAGAGCTAACAAAGAAACCACATTAACTCAGCCAATAAGTGATGAAACACAGTTTTCTGTTCAGTGGTAAAAAAAAAAAAAAAAAGGTTAAAAAAAAAGTTCATGTACTGTAAAGACATACAGAGCATGAATATGAAGGTGGTTCACATTCAAACACACACTCATTTCTAGGAAGACAAAGTGTTTTTTGTCCTTTCTGTATTTCCAATAAAGCTCACCGCATCAACTGCTCTGACTGTTTTTAACAGAAGGGTTTATTAATGTTATAATCTGGGTGTGTACTTCTCCTTCTTTAACAATAGAGATTAGATTAGAGTGAAGTAGGTTAGATTCAATTTAATTTAATTTAATTAGAGTAAACATCAACACATTAGAGTAGATTCGATTAGATTAGATTACCTTAGATTAGATTAGATTCAACTTTATTTTCATTGCATTCACCAGTACACAGCAATGAAATACATTTTCACTATTTATGAGGTCTAACAATTTCTTTTCTTTTTTCCACTGAGGGAGGTTAAGTTATGAAAATAAAAATATCTGTATTTACCTTTGTTTACATAAATAACTGGAGCTCTTTGCAAAGTATTATTATTAATGTTATTATCACTATTATTAACAGCATTTTGCTTATAAGATCTGTCTACATGAGATGACAGTATGTTTTCAGTGAAAGGGGAAAAAACAAGTGCATCTCAGTTGTTTGTAGAGACTAATATCTTCCCTTCTTCAGTTTCCATGTGGGGACTGTCGAATCAGCCCACTAGATGGCCACATAAACCATACTAACCACAGCGCTTCGTTGCACACCTTTCTAGAGGCTCCTAGATTCCAACAAGCGTCTATAATGTTGTCAAAGCAAACATCCCATAATATTCACATATTCACAAGGTCAGATGTCTCAGATAAGGCTTTTTAAACTAATTTAAATGGAAGCAAATTAACATTTTGCGTTTTATTAAACATTTTATTTCAATAAAAACAAAAATATACTCTGTTGTGGTTTTGAAACTTGATATATAATGTCCGTTACTGATGTAGAGAAGATTTGTCTGATATTTTCTGTCACTTTCTTAACGGAATAAATATATACATTTACCAATATCAGAGACGCAGTCAAAGCTTGTCAGTTCATACCAATTAAGAAGTACTGGGTATAAAACAGTTCAGTTACTGTCAGTTATCTTCACTGGACAAACACCAGACACTAAACAGACGACAGGACTTCTTCTTGTTACTTGGCTGATTTTAAAAAAGGAAACAGGTTACTGAATCAGTGACCAGGTTCACTAACCAGTCACTCATCATCACCTGTCACACTGCTGGGAATCAGAGTTGGTGTCACACACACAGATGACACACACACAGATGACACACACACACACACGTACACACAGTCTGCTGGTCTAGAGGCTCAGTCAGTGTCAATGTGAAGCGGTGAACTGCATTTGAACCCGTGACCTCTGTAACTCACCCATATTGACGGCAGGCAACACACACACATGAACACGCACACACACACATAGACATACAAACACACAGCCCTTCAGCCAGTACAGCATGGCCCCAAGGACTTTAGGTGTTAGTGGAGGAGGGGGTGAGGGAGAACTGACTGTGGATGAAGTGATGGATGATGAATGAAGGAGGGAGGGAGGGAGATGACTGTGTGTCAATTTAATTATTGAAAATAATAAAGGCTATGCTCAAACAGGTGCACAGAGAAACCATTAACTGAAATGGAGAAGCGTTACTTGTATTTCTTCCAAGATTTCCAGATTAGTCCTGTGTTTAAACCAATACTTTGTTCTTATAACCTTTACATTTCCTGAATGCCACAGATATTGCAGATCAGCTGCGGGGTCACACAGAGGTGAATCCACACCTTCATACATTTTTCATTTTTCATTTATTAATGACAAATTGTTCAGTGCAACATAAAGCCTGTCACACATCCTACGGCCTACATATGAATCTTTTAGCGTCACTAATGTCTGAACACATCAGATGATATCAGTTCTGCAAATGCTATAAGTGAAGAAGTTTCAGATGTTTTTTGGTCATGGTGAAAATGGTATTTTTAGAATTGTGATTGGAATCAAATATTTGTGCGGACACTTCAGTGCAGACTATAAACAATAGTCTATTATTCCACCCAACATACATCTATGATAGAATGTTAAATTGTTGAATGTTAAAATCTCTCCATGTCACTCATTATCCTGGACTTTTAATCTTGACTGCAGAGATGTGTTCCAATTGAAGCAACAATGAAAAAAAGAGACAGAGGTTTGAAATAACATACTGTACTCAGAGTCCTCATAGTCTATGTATAGTAAATAAACCGTTGGATTCACACAGGTAAACCAGATTAAGTGAACATTTGTATGAATATGATCTTGAAAGAAAGTCCTTGAGTTCCCTGGAAATGCACATTGTACAAAACTTTCATGAAATAAGGATATAAATAATGTTCCTGGTTTGTACTGAGCTGCACTGAGGAGGTGTCAGACCCTGGCTGGGTGGAAAGATCTAGTCGACTATGTGTGTGTGTGTGTGTGTGAGAGACTGTGTGAGTGTGTAGTTCACTCCAGAGGTGGAGGAAGAAAGTAAGAGCAGGATTGGGCCAGGATTAGTCAAAGATTTGAAAGTTACTTCAAAGTTGTACACGGAGATGGTTTCGAGGAATTCAGGTTTCCTGTGCTGGATGCTCTCAAAGATGAAGTCACAGGCAAACAGAAACAACGGCTCAGTGAGGAATGAAAATATCCAGTTAAACCTGAATGTTTGACAGTAGCAAAAGTTAAAGAAAATAAGTACAAATACAGCAGCTTTGAGTCTTAATCCACTCGTCTTCTACTGCTTCAACTTCAGGAACAACTCCGGGGTCACAGAAGGGGCTGGAGTGGGAGCACACCCTGACGGGTTGCCCAGTCCATCACACACTGGGGCTAATAATGAGTCTTAATCTCAGTGAGACCTAAGGTGAATCCAGAGTGTCCAGTAAAGCTCATCCTGCAACACCCATACAAACTCAAACAAACAGAGAACACACTAACTCCAAAAAGATAATCTATCAGTTCTAACCAGGAATCATACACATGACCTTCTTGGCATAAGGCAAGTGCAGTTATCACTTCTCCACTGTGTGGGAGGGCAGTAATGCCAAGGGTTATAATGGCAGTCAGAACTATGAGGAAAACAGACCCAATTAGAGCTGGGGAAATCAGAGAAAACATAACAAAGGTGATATAGCCTGGAGTTAGCCCACTTGACCCCCGTTGGATTGGAACATACTGTAGATATCTTGAAAAGTGTTGATAATGTTTCAACACTTTTAGCCACTTTTGTCAGTCACAATATGGAGCAGAGCATCACACTGGTAAGGTCTCAGCTCGGTGACAAGACATGGCTGCACTATTGTCCGTCTGTGAACACATCGGCTCAGTGATGTCTGAGCATTTTCCTTGACTTTTCCTCATTAGCCTGTGCTACATGGCAAACGGGTGGTGTGGCCCCTTTTTCCTGCCTTTCAGGCGTCACTATCACAGCTCTGATCTGTCACCCTCCGCTTTGCCCTAATGTGTGAAAGCAAGACGTGTTGCTCCTATTAGCACTTCTTGGCAAGGCTGGCATGCTGATCCCTCATCCCCCGGGAGGCCAGCAATATGGTGCTGTGCCGTGACCGCCCGCCAGCCCCGGCTCCCGCTGTCACAATACATCACACATCCCCAAGAACCACGGCTCCATCACAGTCACTGGCTGAGTGACAGGAGAGCAGTCAACGCCAAAGGTCAAATATGTGGGATCACAACAAAAACTTAACAAGGCAGGCAGAGGCTGAAGTATATAACTGTACTTCAGTCACAGATTTTAAAACGGTGGGTTCCAACCCAAAAGGTGTTTTTGTTGCACAATCAAGGGACCTGATCTGATCTGTTTTACTGTACATTTTACTGTACATCTATGTGATTGTATAAGAAACATGATGACTTAAAACACTCCTCATTTCTTCTTCTTTGGTTTTCATTGGCAAGCCTTTGATTGGTGTGACTGCCCCCTAGTGGCCCTTTTATTTTCAACCGGTAACCATCTTGTCATCCAGAAGCATTTAAACTGCTGACCACATGATAAAAAAGACAAACAAATAACAGGTACAGTGTAGTATTACTGGAAAAGATCATGGTACTATACACACAATTATTGTCAAGACCTCAATATTTATACCTTTACAACAGAAAACAAAAATGAATGCAAAAAGTCAATGAGAAAATAATCCCTGTAAAGAAAGGGATTAAAGGGAAAAAAAACAAAAAAACTCCTCCTGTCTACTTAGGTTAAAGAAAAAAACAAAAAAACTCCTCCTGTCTGCTTCCACCGTCAGTGGAAGGTCTCTGATGAGTGGTCTCTGCCGCTACATCAATAAAGGGGACTTTGACTCATGCAGTGTAAAGTGACTAAGACTGAGCATAAAAAACCACAGGGGTATAAACAGCACATGTGTGTGGGCCACATCCTATGTCAGGGGTCAGGAACCTTCTCATCAGAGAGACCCAAAAAAGTCACAGATTTTAAAATGTATTTCTGTGAGAGCCATACAATTTTTATTTTTACTCTGAATACAACTGAATGTATGAATTTTTAAACCAAACCAATAATTTAGTATAGTAAGTCTCTGCAGTAGTAAAAAAGGTATTAAAGTTATTTTTAAAAAGTTTTTAACGTTGTTCTACTATCCATACATGAAATATAATATAATACAAAGAGAGTACGCTGCCGCAGCAAATACGCAAATTGGGGTTTTTTTTTTTCTTGTTTTTTTTTTTTTTTTAAGATTATTTCAACTCTATGATTTCTGTAATGTTTTACTGGAATATCAGCAAAATATTTATTACTTATTGTGTTAAGAAGTACCAGCTAAGATTTATCTGAGAGCCAGATGCAGTTATGAAAAGAGCCACATCTGGTTCGTGAGCCATAGGTTCCTGACCCCTGTCCTATGTTTTTGCCTAAGTTTTATATATATGTAGACATGTAGTCCATTTTTAAACCTTCAATAATAAAGTAATTTAAATTAATCTCACTTGATTTTTATTTAATTTCCAAAAAAATAAAAAAATAAATGATTTAATTTCTTTGACCTGTTAAAGAAGTCGGATGTGAAATATGAGTGTAAGACTGATGTGATGGTTGGTGGTCACTTCTCCTCATAACAAACCAAACAAAGTCGTTGGTGGTCACTGACCAACGTCTGGTTCTCCTCATAACAAACCAAACAAAGTCTGCAGAGCCATACTTTTATGAGTTGACAAAAACATATTTATCTGCATCAGATACACCTACACCTCCACTCCAAACACCCACTCCATTTCTTTTTTGGGAACTTAATGCGACATAATCTTGAGTTTTATCTCTTTCTGAATGTTTATCATAAGAACTGTCAAACATAAAGTCATTTCATCCAACAACGTTTGGCAATTTTAGATCCTCTGTCTAAGCTTAAACAGGATTTCCTGAAGTTCCTGCTTCCATATTTAGAAAGCCTGTTATCACAGCAGAATCTGAGGTCTGCATCTGCTTTCAAACGCGTTCATGTTTCAGCATCAAAAGCAGCCCTGCACTAACCCGGCCACACTGGCACTGCATTCACATTCTACATTTCCCCTTGCACACACGTGTGTAATGAAAAGGTCATCTTTAACTGTGTGGCTTGATGTATATTGTCATGAACGTAGCATTTCATTTCACCTGACTTTGTGGATTCAAAGTATGCTGTTGACTGTCTGTCAAATACATAGGAAATACACGCAGAGGTCGCAGCGGCAGACCTGCTGTGACTCTCTGACTTACAGCCACCAGTGAGGTGCCTGCTCTGCACAGCATTCACCACTGATGCTCTCTGCCGCCCTGTCAGTGCCCACTGGCCACACTGGGTTTGTGTGCTGTATATTAGCCTCAGCACAAGTGATGGACGGGCAGTTCTGACCACAAGGTTAATTGCAATACAACAGAAGGTAGGCTCAAAAAACACTAATACATGAATCTGTCCTTCTTGTTGCAGGTTGGAGTCCACCCTCTGCCAAGTTACCACTGAGGTGCTCTGATCATGGCTCCGTCCTCACTCACTGCTCCCCTCAAAGCTGCCCACTGTTCACTTTGGTGATGGGTTAAAAGCCATCAGAGGTCACATTTGGTTGTGTGCAGTGATGAGCTGTGTCACAATGACAAGGAGTTCACTTTCCTTCCTTCCTTTCCTCAACATCACACCTCAGGTACACATGCATATAAAAATCGTTAGACTCTCTTCTGTAAACACAGTGCACTCACTGGTCAGATGAGGCGGACTGTAGTCATTGGCTACCACAACATCCCAAGGAGGGTGTCAGGCACTGCCACAAAGGAGGAGAAGGGAAGGAAGGGCCAAAAGTAGGTGAGGATGAACGGGTTCAGGTTCATGTCAGCCAATGTCAAAGGACATTATTGTTATCTGGAATTTTCTGAGTAATTATAGTGCTGAGACTGAGAATGTTCAGATGAGGACAGGACGATGTCATTCCTGACACACAGCTGGTTCACATCTCTACACCTCTCTTATTTTTCCTGAGTTGAGCTGACTTCAGTTCTGTTCATCTGTTACTTTAGAGATCATTTTCTTTAGAGTCTTTCTAGGAGCTTAAAACCTTTAAAAGAAAAGCATTAATCGCATTAAATCCCTGTAATAATTGTTTATTGATCACTGATTAGCAGACAACACAATTTGCTTCAATCAGCTCAGGCAGTGGTCAGTGTGTAGCAAAAACTATTCTCAGACAGGAGGAAGTGTGCTGTTGGTGTGGAAAGGCGGGCACAGTTTCATGAGGGGCACCTCGATGTGACACGGGGAAAACAGGGGCATGTGGTCCCAGTCCTCTCACTCACAGACTGGATGATGACTGACTGACGACCGCTATTAACGCATCAACACTTCCACACACACGCACGTATTCACACACACAAGGTCATGTGTGTGTAGAGACCAAACACTTAGCAGACTTTACACATTCACCACTCACATATATAGAAATACACATGTGAACGTACACAGGAGGCAGTACAGAGCGTTGTCTACTCTAGTTTGCAGGAACTGAAGAAGGACACACAAAGAAGAGTGTTCGATTTGTCCGCCTGTCACACAGACTATCGAAGAGTAATTATTTGCAGGAAATAAACTTCAACAGGTGTACTGTGTCAGTGACACCTGGTGTGGGATTTGTCTAAACTGGTATTCCCTAAGTTTTGCCCTAAGTACTGTATACACCATTTTCAGGAATCCTACAGTTTTTACTGACATACATCAATCTGGGTCAAAGCTCACCTCAGGTTGGCTTTCGTCACTCTGTCACTCAACAGTCGTATGAGTACCAGCATCGGCCTCCACTGACTGGACACAGTCAGCAGATCAGGGTATGACACTGCCGTGGATCCTGGGCAGAGCTGAGTGCTGCAGCAATAATACAGTTGTGGTTTTATCTGCCAATCAACAGTCAGCACCTAGAAACAAAGGTTTCATACATTATGGGATGTGGCTGTAGACGTGGATGTCAAACTGACATGAATACATCTCCACATCAACACTTCTCTGGTCCCAACACTGCTAACTATGAAACTGTCAAGTGCCAAATGTTGGCCAGGATAACATTCATCTGTGTTCACAATCAGAGGCAGTTTGGAGAGACTTTCAACATGGAGTCAAATGGAGCTGAGAACTTCAAGAAATTAGAGTTCGACCTCAGCATTTTTAGCAAGGAATAGTTCCAAGAAAATTATTTGCAAAAGTTTTTGCTCCTTTTTTTTTCTTTTTTCCCATTTTCTAATTCTCTTTTATTTTTATTTATTTTTAAAATCGGGACATTTCTAAGAAAAAAAAGATATTTTGAGGTAATTGTTGAACAATTTAGCTTAACACTACTCATTAAACACACACTTTCAGATTTTTTTGTTGGAATTCTGAGAAGAAATCAAAAATAATTTATGACAATTCTGAGAGCAAAAACAGTTCAAGTTCGACCTTTGACTGGAAATGCTGAGAGTTCTAGTTAGATTTCACATACTGCCCTAGTAATCTGAGATCTTAGTAAGACTTTTACCAATTAAACAATTTTGGAAATAGAAACAAAACTGAACTGTGTAAACGTTGAATGTCAATATCTTGTCATTTTCCTGTTCCTCGGTCAGACACAGTATGCACTAGGTTTTACACTGACATTTGACTCTAAGAAAAAATGATCTTAGAAATTTGGAATTTTAGTTTTTTCTTAGCATTGTGAGATTCCTGTCAGAATTGTTGTTTTAATGATGTTGAAGAAAAAACAACAAGCAGAGCCAGACTGATAAATTAGAAAGGAGAAGCCAACACAGAAGTAGTGAGGGCTGCTCCTCTTCATCTTCCTCTCCTTCTACCCCCCTTCATCAAAGGTGTTGGGTGTATTAATACCCCACGTTCCCCCAGGAACCACCAGGCCCAGCAGGACCCTCTGCGCCCCCCACTAACCTCCCATCTTCTCTCCTCCTTGTCCACCTCCGTCTCACCCCTCCCCTCCTCACTAATTAGAATCTTGGGCCTCGTTAGGGCCGGCAGCCTCGGGGGCCCCACAAATACAAAAGCTGATTCCAACTGACGTAACAAGTCAATGCCAAGGGGACAGATGCTAATTTTAATTAATTAAATGGAAGGGTCAGACAAACAAGAGCCAGAGGGAGGGTGGGTCGCCGGTGTGCTCTGACCAGCCAGCCCTGCTCCTCTTGGGGGGATGTTCAGCCCATTTGTTGTTATTGCTGCTGTTGTTCATCTTGCATTCCCAGATGAGAACTTTACAGGCAAGTCATGGCTGGTAGGCAGAGGCTGTTCCACCTTGTTAGTACAAATTACAACATGTCTAATCCTAATTTGGGCTTGAATTATGGAGAAAATGGTGCTTTACCTTGTTACTACGTCCCTTGGTATTCTTCATTACAGTGATTACAAAGAGCAATTGTATTTCAGCAAGCATTACAAAAAGCAAAAAGACAAAAAAAAAGAGTTTCTTATCAAAAGCACTTTTTTTCCTGCCTAAAAAACAACTACATTAATCTGTTTTTTTATAGGAATAAAAGTATTACTGTACTTTTATTACTTAAGGTATTTTACAGTTTTGAGGTCCAACTGACAGTAAACAGTAGTTTGGGGCTGCATGAAGGTAAAATGACTCACACTCAGTCAGATTAACCCCTGACCTTAACTGATATTTAAGTCTAGATGGAGGATGGATTCAAAATCTGAATGCTGCAAAGACAAGACCAAACTGCTTTTAATCATTGTATCCAGTAATCCAGCAGATACCATTCAGACCATGTGGCCACCACTTGAAAAACACTGAGGAAAAATGTATTCAAACCAGTCCCAATGGAGTCCACTGATTAATGTATGATGTTACGCATGATGTTAATGTATGATGAAATACGTGTTGTTCACTTCCTTCTGACCAGTGGCATGTCTTACCTTAGTACAGTCTTGTCCATGTCAGAAATACTTCAACAACAAACACGTTGGGAGTTCAGGGGTGTGTACTTTCCAAAGGATTTTCTCTCTTCCTCACTTTCTCTCTTCTTCCTGACCTACTTCTGGCATTTTATCCGGGCTGGAAGATCAATCCCTAGAGGGTGCACCGTGTCAGCCTTGTACCACGTCAATCCCGACACAAAGGGCACACTTTGTCACTTCATATTTTTAAGGCTCCAAAAAACCCTGGCTTTTCATTGTTGTCTCTGTGTCAGA